AAGGAGGGCCGGCGCAGCGACACGTGCGAGTACTGCGGCAAGGTGTTCAAGAACTGCAGCAACCTCACGGTGCACCGGCGGAGCCACACCGGCGAGCGGCCTTACAAGTGCGAGCTGTGCAACTACGCGTGCGCGCAGAGCAGCAAGCTCACGCGCCACATGAAGACGCACGGGCAGATCGGCAAGGAGGTGTACCGCTGCGACATCTGCCAGATGCCCTTCAGCGTCTACAGCACCCTGGAGAAACACATGAAAAAGTGGCACGGCGAGCACTTGCTAACTAACGACGTCAAAATCGAGCAGGCGGAGCGGAGCTAAGCGCGCGCGCACACGGGCGTGGGCGCCGGACTAGCCCCGCGCCTCCGCCCGCCGCCGAGCGCCCTGCCCGCGTGTCCCCGGCCCGGGGGAGGCGGCACCCCACCTAACCTGTGTCTGCGAAGTCCTATGGAAACCTGAGGGTTGATTAAGGCAGTAAAATTTGTGGAGCCTTTTAACTGTGCAATAATTTCTGTATTTATTGGGTTTTGTAATTTTTTTGGCATGTGCAGGTACCTTTTTTATTATTCTTTCTGTTAAAGTTCCTTTAAAAGTTTTTGTTGGGTATCCATCCCTTTCTTTTCTTTTCTTTTTTTTCTTTTTCTTTCTTTCTTTCTTTCTTTCTTTTTTTTAAACTCAGTAGACTGAGCAATGACTCTCAAGCAATGTAGATGGGAAGCATACTTTTAAATTATGATTTTTGGGGGGGAGGGTGCTGCTTTTTTGAAATTTAAGCTAAGCATGTGTAATTTCTTGTGAAGAAGCCAACAGTTAAATGACTTTTAAAGTTGTTTACTTTTTTATTCCTTCCCCCCTCCTTTTCTTTCGTTTGTTTTGTTTTTTGGTCCTAAAATAAAATGTGGCATGCATTTTTTGGGTTTTTTTTTTTTTTGAGGGGGGTGTGGATGTACAGCGGATAACAATCTTTAAAATCGTAGCACTTTGTTTCAGAATTGGAATGGAGATGTAGCACTGACAGCAGTCACGGAGGCCTTTTCTGTGTAGGTTTCAGCTGTTGCGTTGTACTAAGGGAGCTCGCAGTGGGGGCGTTGCGGGAGGCACCCCAGAGACCGCGCGCGGTTTCCTGGAAGCTCTGGGAAGAGATCGCAGGTGTGCATCACCAGCAGACACTGCCATTTCTTGGCCTGTTGATGCCTCCGATGTCAACTCTGCAGGTTCCGCTGCGTTAAATGGGCCGAGGGTACTTATTATTGAGTAGCTGGTGGTGGCCTGCAGTGACACAGAAAGGAAGCGTCCCCTGGTGTTCTTCTAGGCTTCTGACTTAACCACTTCTCTCTTTCCTCTCCCCCCTCCGCCCCGCCCCCGCGCTGATTCCCGAGTGGATGTTGCGACACGTGGTGATTGACCGTTTACTTCTCAAGCAGATGGGAGAATGGGCAGTTAGTGTCCTCTTGTGCCATGCACGCCGGTGGCCTTGTAGAGATGGGGGAACATCGCTAATTTCTGCTCCCTTCTCCTGGAGAAGTGGGGAAGAGTCCCATCCGGAGGAGCCCCGCACTATTTCCCACTTTTTCTTTTCTCCGAGTAGGTTGGAAAGTACTAAACGTTGGACTGTTAGGATTAGAAATTTGAGTTCTGTTGACCTGCACTTTAAAGCTTTTGTTTGCATTTAAATTAAATGGCTTCTAAACAAGAAATTGCAGCATCTGCTCTTTGGCCCAGAGGTGGGTTAAACTGTAAGGGACAGCTGAGATCGAGTGTCAGTGTTGCTAAGCGTGGCATTCACAATACTGGCACTATAAAGAACAAAATAAAATAATTTATTGGACAGTTTTTCTACTGCCATTCAATTTGACGTGAGTGCCTTGAAAACCGATCTTCCTATTTGAGTCTCTTGAGACAAATGCAAAACTTTTTTTTTGAAATGAAAAGACTTTTTAAAAAAGTAAAACAAAAGTACATTCTTTAGAAACAAAGCCACATTTACTTTAACTTTAAAAAAAAAAAAATCCTGGTTGAAGATAGAGGACATGAGACCCAGTCAGATGAAGAATTAAACCCAGCACAACTGTGGACATCCATTAGCTGAATTATCCTCAGCCCCTTTTGTTTTTGGGACAACGCTGCTTAGATATTGGAGTGGAGGTGATTTACTGCTGAATTAAAACTCAAGTGACACGAGTTGATATTGTTGAATGAAAAACAAAACAAAAAACAATTCAGGAGCAACGGCTAATTTTTTTCTAAAGTTAAATTTAGTGCACTCTGTCTTAAAAATACGTTTACAGTATTGGATACATACAAGGGTAAAAAAAATTGTGTGTATGTGTGTTGGAGCGATCATTTTTTTTTTTCAAAGTTTGCTTAATAGGTTATATACAAAAATGCCACAATGGCTGCGTGTATATTGTTTTCTTTTGGTGACGGGGTTTTAGTATATATTATATATATTAAAATTTCTTGATTACTGTAAAAGTGGACCAGTATTTGTAATAATTGAGAATGCCTGGGCATTTTACAAAACAAGAAAGAAAAAAAAACCCTTTTTTTTTCCTTGGAAATGTTGCAGTAAAATTTAAACGGTGGGTCTATCAATTTGTTCTTGTCACTGTAACTGTAAAGTCGGAGTTTTAGTAAATTTTTTTCTGCCTTGGGTGTTGAATTTTTATTTCAAAAAAAATGTATAGAAACTTGTATTTGGGGATTAAACGGGGATTGCTACACCATGTAGAAAAAGTATGTAGAAAAAAGTGCTTAATATTGTTATTGCTTTGCAGAAAAAAAAATCACATTTCTGACCTGTACTTATTTTTCTCTCCCCCATATCCCTCTGGAATGGATATACTGGTTGGTTCGTATGATGTAGGCACTTGCTGTATTTTTACTGGAGCTTGTAATTTTTTAACTGTAAGCTTGTCCTTTTAAAGGGATTTAATGTACCTTTTTGTTAGTGAATTTGGAAATAAAAAGAAAAAAAAAAACAAAAAGAAACAGGCTGCCATAATATATTTTTTTAATTTGGCAGGATAAAATGTTGCAACAAGAAATTTGTATGTTAAGTCATATTGTACAGGAGAAAAAAAAGGGGTTGTTTGACAACCTTTGAGAAAAAGAGACGGAAGTAGTTCAGTGCTTTGGTTCACGAATCATTTTAGTTGTATATATTTTTGTCGGAATTGGCGTACACAAAGAACTGTTCGAGGTGGGCTTCGAGCTCAGAGCCCCGAACTTTGCCCCAGGGCGCCTTGGCGAGGCCGCAGCAGACCGGATGGGAAATGCTTTGTGTCGGACGAAAAAATCAGTCCGCGTGAAGACGTTGGTCACATTCCACGGTGTCCTCTCTTCCTCCTAGAGGACATCTGTAAGCTGGCAGGTGTAGAGGAGAGACACGAGGTCCCCTTCCTTCTCTGCTGTCGCTACTGTGGCGGTCACCACCACCTCTGCTCCCCTCCGGCCTCCAGAGCAGAGAGAAGTATAAACCGAGCTGCTTCCGCCCCCGAGAGAACGGGAAACACCAGCCAGAGTGGAAGGAGCTGGCCGGCCAGCAGGTCCGCGGGGCTGGCGCAGGCGGGGTTCGAGGAGGGGGCCCTTGCCGCCGGGACCTTCCGCCCGCCCCGTGGGGATGCTGGCCTGCTTTTCTCTCCTGCTTTGCTGCTTTTCTCTCCGAAGCCTACGTTCCGTCAGTTTCCGAAAGCCGAGGGCCTGGGATGAACGAATTCGGTGCCTTTCCATCTCTCCTTCCTCCGTGTTTCCCTCCATCTCCTAGCCTCTGTCTGTCTTGTATCTGCTCATTTCATTTTTATTTCATTTCTTTTTTTCCTCTCTGTCCTTTCCGCCCCACCTCTTTCTTTCTTTCTTTCTTTCTTTCTTTCTTTCTTTCTTTCTTTCTTTCTTTCTTTCTTTTTCTTCTTCTTTTTTTTTTGTAAAGCCAAGTAGCTTTAAGATAATAAGTGGTGGTCTTTTGATGAGGGAATACATTTTTAACAAATACCTATATCAGGAAGCCATTTTTTAATTTCAGGAAATGCAAGAAACCCTTATTTCAGGTTATGGAAGTATAACCAAGCATCTGTCTAGGCAATTCTTTACCAAATGCAGAAATCGTTCTGGGAGCTTTTCTGCTGGCGCTGTTTCCCCTTGCTGCTCCCTTTTGTGAGGTTAGAAGAACAGGGCAGAGCAGCGGGCAAGAAAGCCGAGTTTTAGCTCTCTGCCTGCTCATCCAGGGCCCCAGGGCCGCCTGCCCTGCCCTGCTCCTGCCCCTGTCTGGTTAGCTGCCCCGAGCACCCATGGTGGCCCTGCTGCAGCGAGTGCAGGTAGGCAGCACACACCAGCTCACACGAAATCACCGGAATACCAGGACTAAGCCATCCTAAAGCACAAGCATTGTGTGTCTCTGTGGACCGCAGAGAGAATTTTGCTTCTCTTTTGTGTTTAAAAAAAAATTCCCACCCTGAAGCAGAAGCAGGTGACCCAGAGGGAGCGCTCCAGCCTGGGTGACCCAGCCGATCTTAGGCCGGGCTCCACACTGCCACAACTTTGCCCAAAGTTGCCCCCCCATTGGAAACTGCCACTTGCCATTGGAGAGTCTTTCAAGGGGAGAGGAGACTGAATTACTCTAAGCAAAATGTGAAAAGTAAGGAAATCAGCCCTGCATCCCGGCCTGTCCATCAGCCGGAGGTTTTGTCGAACACAGGCACATCTGTGATTTGGTGCTCTTTGTACCTCAGCCCTGCAAAGCGAAGTTACATTGATTTCAGTTGTTTGCATTTGTACTGGCAAGGCGAAATATTTTTATTACCTTTTCTATTACTTATTGTATGAGCTTTTGTTGTTTACTTGGAGGTTTTGTCTTTTACTACAAGTTTAGAACTATTTATTATTGCTTGGTATTTGTGCTCCGTTTAAGAAGCGGGCACTTTTTTTTTTAATTATGGATAAAATGTTGAGATGACAGGAGGTCATTTCAATATGGCTTAGTAAAATATTTATTGTTCCTTTTATTCTCTGTACAAGATTTGGGGCCTCTTTTTCCCTCAGTGTCACAATGTTGAGTTCAGCATGTGTCTGCCATTTCATTTGTACGCTTGTTCAAAGCCAAGTTTGTTCTGGTTTCAAGTTATAAAAATAAATTGGACATTTAACTTGATCTCCAAACCTTGTCCTTTTCTGTGTCTTTGAAAGGTGGGGTGCGGACAGCTCATTTCCAGGGGTGGACTGAAGGTCTTGCTCCATTTTCCCGTTGACCCAACGCTCTTGAGTCTGTAGCCAGGAGGAAGGGAAAGAAACCAGTAGACACCAGCGGTGCTCAGCTTGGCCGCGTGGTGAGACTTGGAGCCCTGGCCTGTGTCACGCTAGAATTTCCCCAGAGCT